GCCCTCACACATTTAAAAATGGCTGCAGGATGCTTTAAGTAAAGCTTACTTAATAAACTTATTAGAAATATACTAACCAAATTCAGTTCTTTCAATTAAAATCAACACCTAGAGGAGATGTGTAAATTGGAACAAATGCTGTTTCTTAACTATAGATTTTCAATTTATAAATTAACTGAAGCTCTCTTACAATAAATACTTTGGCTTCTGTATCTATACATTTCCAAAAAGGCAAAGGACTGCACTCCTGCTTTAGTGGCAATTTTATGCTACTTCTAAGTAAGGTATGAAGTCAGTGTTTTCAAAGTACACCATTAATACTCTGGTATCTAACTTCTTGCTCTCAAGATTATCAACATCTGCAACTCTGACGAAGATGCTAGGTATTTTTAAGTAAAAATTTCAGTGAAATTCAGTAAACATTTTTAAGTGAAAATTTCTTTCAGCTTTATCCTATGTTTTACAAATTTAATCCTATGAAAGCAGATGATGAATGAACTGAAAACCAAACATTAAGGGGGGTGATAACTGGAGCCAAGAACATAGTTATTTGTGGTTAGTGGGTTCTTTCCATAATAACTCTGGCTCTAAGCCAGCGGTATAAATCTCAGTGGTGATGGGATCAGTCCACAGGCGGACCAGACCCACACAGTAGCCCTGCATTCCAGTCTGTGGTCCTATAGTGTCAGAGTGGGTGCCACATGCAGCCTGGTCCTGCTCTGGCCTCTCCAGGGCTGTGCTGTATAGCCTGGCCCTGCTTTTGCTGCTCCAGGGCGCTTTTCTGCCAGGGCCTGGAACCACCACTGCTGCAGGTATGTCCTGAATGGTATTTCTTAGTAAAACAAAGACCATGTCCAGACTCATGCCTTGAGCCACCACTGATGCAGGGCTGTTCTGAATGCCCCTGAGTTGCCATCACTTGCAGCAAGGTCCTGGAGCAGCAGACAGCTATTCTAGGGCTGCACTGTACATCGCAGCCTCTCCACTGCTCTGGGACATGAGTCTGGACATAGTCTTTGTTTTACTAAGAAATACCATTCAGGACATCCCTGCAGCAGTGCTGGTTCCAGGCCCTGGCAGAAAAAGCATGGGAGCAGCAAAAGCAGGGCCCTGGAGAGGCCAGAGCAGGACCAGGCTGCATGTGGCACCCACTCTGACACTATAGGACCACAGACTGGAATGCAAGGCCACTCTGTGGGCCTGTGGACTGACCCTGTCACCACTGAGATTTATATCCCTAATTTAGAGCCAGACACATGATGGAAAGAATCCACTAACCACAAATAACAACGTTCTTGGCTCCGGTTACCACGCCCCATAATGTCTGGTTTTCAGTTCATTCATCATCTGCTTTCACAGGATTAAAATTTGTAAAACATAGGATAAAGGTGGAGGTAAAAAATGTCTACCATCTTTGTCAGAGTTGCAGATGCTGATAATGTTGGGAGCAAGAAATTAGATACTAGAGTATTAATGGTGTACTAAGAAAGTGTGTATTGGTTTTAATAAGAAACACTATGGTACTCTCATTGAAAGTTGACGGAATACTGTTAACATCTACTCATCAGGGTTTTACCTGATATTTAATGCTTCGTGTCAAGTACTGAAAAGTCAGAGCTGGCGTGTGCTTCAGCAAAATTAAGCTGAGGTATAGGATGAAAAGGGAGTGTAATAGTTAAATCAAACATTGCCTCTGGCTTAGTCTTCGCTGTGAGGCTAATGATGAATTTGCAAAAGGAGTTTCTCTGTAGAGAGCCTTATGCTTTCTCTGCCAAATGAAAGAAGCTTTGCTGGCAAGGCTTCTGCTGGCAGGTTCTGGTGTGTGATCTTTTCTCTCCAACATGACTACGCTTAAAAAAACTTATGAGGTAGGCAAGTTCTTTTCATTCCCTTGCCCCATTACATTTGCATCTCTTTCCAATTTGCATTCTCCAAAAATGTCACTGGTACTGGGGTTTACTCTGTCTTTCAGAGATCAAAGTATGCACTCAGTACAGCTTTAAGTGTGCAAATAGTAGTTAGTAGCCTTTGCACATGATGAAGAAGAAACTTACAAGTGGTTCAGGTGTTTGGTTTACAAAAGTAGCTCAGAAGAACAGATGGTAATATTCCTAACCTGGAAGTCACAAAGGTTTGGGGCACATTCAAGAAAAATGACCTGGTGGTCAAGTTATCTGAAGCAGCTTAATATTTGTTAAGACTAGGTATGTGGGGAATTTAGCATGACTGTTGAGGTGGGCAAGGAGAGCAAAATGTCAAGAGCAGAGGGTACATACAGATGTTACACTTGGATCAATCTAACTAGAGTTAGCCTTATCTAATGAATGTGTATATGTGTTTGGAGTGCAGCCCTGGCACTGGTAAAACCCAGCTGCTCACCCCAGCCCTGGAGCTGTGTTTTTACCATCCCCCAACCAGGTTATTTTTACACCCCCCACCCCCAACTGGACCCGCCCCCTGCACCTCCAGACTTGCTGGTTCCCGCCCTGATCCCAGCTTACTCCTCCCCACCCTACTTACACATGATCATGTGTCTGTGCAGTACAACATGCAAAAAGAGACAATGGGTTATCTACCATTAGCAATTAAAAAAAAAAATCAAGGAAGTCCTATGGCTTGTATTATACAGGAAGTCAGACTCATTAAGTAATCACAGTGACCTCTTCCAGCCTTATCTATTTATTTGTGTTTATTTTTGCATAATTATTTGTTATTACATTCTGTGCAATGCAAAATACAAAAAGAGACAATGGAATCCTAGCCATAATTAAGTCACTTACTGCCAGGGGCTGATGAACCATGGCAAAGATAGCAATGTCTCAACCACCTACATAACAGAGTCAGATGCTCCAAGGAACTAATGAATCAATGGTATAGCTCCACTTCTTCAACTGACTGTGACTGTGGCACAGAGCTTCAGACTATGCAATACCTGCTGAAATGCCCGCTGCTTGAAGACACATGTATAATGAAAGACTTAAAGTACAATAAATGAGCACAAACATGTGCAACTAAAAGGTCAAATGTGGTAGAGAGACATGAGAAGAAGAATGAAGTCACTGATACAAAAATAAATTTAATCATTTCCATGAATACCACTTGTTTGCAAGGACTGAAGTGAATAGAAACGTTATGGGTAGTATACACCTACACACATTTGTGGAACTTGATCTAAGTAAACATTTTTGCTCTTCCAGATAGACCTTCTCAAGTGTAATTCAGTATTTCTTCTCAAATATATTACTATGTACAATATTGTGATTAGTCTTTGAGATTCTACTAGAAAAAATGTATGGTTCATAGATAAGGTTGGAAGAGACTATTTACATCACTTAATGAGTCAGACTGTCTGTATAACACAACTCATAGGACTTGAACTTTTTTTAAAATTTAAAAATTGCCAGTGGTTGATAACTATTGGTAAATTATTCCAAGGGTTAATTACTTTCACCATGATTTTTTTTTCCTAGTTTGAATTTTTTAGCTTCAACTTTCAACCATTGCATCTTGTTATATTTTTGTCCCTCAGACTGCAGGAGCCCATTATTAAATTTATGCCCTTCAGATTGAGACTTATAACCTCTGATCAAGTTGCTCCTTAAATTACCTTAATTTCTTAAACAAAGCATGTTCACCTCCTGGAATCTGTCACTATAAAATGTGAGTTAGAGAGTTCTTCTCTGAACTCATTCTCAACTGTCAGCCTCTTGTAGCGCTTGCACCAGTGCCAAAAACAGATTAAATTATAGCTCCTCATCTCCTCCATGGTATTCTCATACTTATGTAGCCCAGGTTAACAATTAGCCCTTTTGGCCATTCTTGTGTTCAGCTGATTGGCCACTATAACGCCCAAGGCTTTTTCAGAGTTACAGTTTCCAAGGATAGCATTCCATAACCTGCAGCAGGGGCAACATGTAGGGGGTGCACGTGGGTGCATGTGCATCCACTGAGCGTGGCAGTGCACACCCTATAAAAAGGCACTGGTGGGTGGTCCACAATCCTTGCTGGCCCCTGGTGACACTGCCAGAGGTGGCTGTGGGTCATCACTGATCCTTGGTCAGCACTCGCCACCCTGCCCCCGCTGCTAACAGTGTTGGCGGTGCCTTTGGGAGCTCCGCACTTACCACCACCATGCTCCCACTACCACCCTGCCCCACTAGCTGCCAGGGGCACAAGTCATTCATGACCTGCATTTTTTGTCCCATGCTATATGGTTTCAGTTTGCCAATATTAGATTGCCTATTGTTTGTTTGCACCCAGCTTGCCAAGTAATCCAGATTGATTTGTGATAATGTCTTTTTGTATGTCTTTTTTATTATTTACCAATCTTTGTGAAATCTATAATTATCAGTAATGAAGTCTTATTTTCTTCCAAATCGCTGGGGAAAGAAAAGGTTAAATAATATAAGGTCAAAGCGCACTGCTTCATCTGGGGCTTCACTAGAAATAACTACTCAACTATTCCCTATTCACAGTTGCATTTTGAATTTCATTGAACAGTTTTCATTCATTTAATCTATACCAGTTGTTTCTTTGTATTGTTCAGGCTTCCTGATCAAAGCTATATTCCTTACAATGTCAAATCCATTGCAGAAGTCTAGTATTATGATTGCCATTATCAACTAAATTCCTTCTCTCATCATAAAAAAGATTAAATCTTAGATTAAATTAGTCTGAGAAGATCTAGTTTCCATAAGACTTTGGTGGATTCAGTTGTTATAATTACCTTCTTTCTATTATTTATTTGTTAAGATTTTTTTCATAGCAATTCTATTATTTTGTCCAGGACGGGATACTGGTCTGATGAAACCTAGGATTGTCTCATTTACTCTTTAAATGTTGAAGCAATATTAAATTTCTTCCAATTTGTAGAACCGCCCAATGTTATAAAACTTATAGAAAATAAACAGCATATTTTGTCACATATAATGTATCTCCCCCAAATCAGGCCAACAAAATTGGACATGTGTTTTAATCAGGGAAACTGTTTTCTTTTCCAGAAAAGAAGCAAGTCTAGAGACACCATGCTTCCCATGTGGCTCCCAAGATGACAGAGTCCTGTGTTAATGCTCTCACAGGATTATAGACTGAGAACTGTAGCTTGTGCCTGAAGCAGCAAATGAACTGCTGGAAGTATCTTGATGACGCTTGCGATGTGGAAATAACACTTTAGTTACTGGAACTTATATAATGAAATACAGTGAAGACATAAGTCTTGCTACTGCCTTTGTAGGGGTCTGAAGCTAACTTTGTCTAACATAGAGTAAGTTCTTTTGGGAATATGGAATGTCCATGAATTGTGGCACCCCAGAGATAGTCTGGGTGAGGCAGCTTGTATGAGGAACTTCATGGTGCTACACTTTATGGACACTCTGGGTGCATCTACATGGTGCTGTGCTTTAGTATTTCCTTTTGGAAGTGCTAAAGCATGATGCAGGAAAGGTGGTTAATCCACCATGCACACAGCACATGGTTAGATTTTGCCGCTACATTGCCATAGTGGCACACTATACTGGGGGAATGTGCCACTACAGTGACATAACTGGTGATCACATATAGACCCACATGACTGCTACGTCACCATAGTGCACCATACAACGATGTAGCATGTCACTACATTGCCATAGGGTGATGTGTAGAGATGACCTTTATGTTCCCAGGGGGGATTAGTCTGTCACACAGTTGGCAGTGCCAGGGAAAAATGCTTTTTTTCTGTGCTCTGTCTTCCAAAAACAAGGTATGTATTCTATTTGGGGTGTATCATGTATGGGAAAGTACAGTATGAACAAACCAGTGAGCCATTGGCCAACTCTAGTAAAATTCTTGGATGCAAATTATTTAAAATAACTGTTTTTAAGGTGCTTACTGAAAGAGTAAAGCATAGGCATCTGGTGCCTCCAGATACTGGGGGGGCACCAGCAGTCAATTGCTGATCAGGGGACGGGGCAGGGGGTGTCCCCCAGTGGCTGATCACCAACCGGGGAGGGGGGATCCCCCAACAGCTGATCACTGCCGCTGGCAAAAGTGCTGGCGGCAAAACCAGAAGTACCAGAGGCAAACCCAGAAGTGCCGCCAGTGCTTCTCTCAGTGCCTCCACAATCTCAGGGGGGCACTGGCCATCACCACCCACTCCCCAGCTGGTGAAGGACAATATCGGGGAGGGGCACATGTCCCCACCTGTGCTTCCCCTATGGAGTAAGGGTTGATCATCCTACTTAGTAACACTTGTAAGAACAAGTTTGCTCACATTTTATCATTATCTATTTATCTTTTCCCCAAGTTTAAGATAGAAAGATTTATTGAATCCTTCTGCTTCCTCGGTGATGGTTTATCTCTATCTGGTACTAGACCAGTACCACTTTCAGGAGGTAAGGAGGTAATAGACTTGTTTTTACAGTAGGGTATCTTGAACTCTCTATTTAAACTACCTCTCCCCCCACCCCTCCCCCCCAAAAAACCCCAGTCCAGTTCTGTGTTGCAAAAGCTCAACATTATTATTGTTGTTGTTGTTGTTGTTATTGTTATTGTTATTATTATTATTATTATTATCAAGCTTTAATCGATGGAACAGTAGTACAAGCTCCACTGTGGTATTCATTTTTGTTTTTATTTAAACAGAAAGTCCTCAGGGCACTAAAAGACAGACAGTCTTATATGCTTAGGATCAATTTCTGAAGTAAAAAATGCTTCCATTGTAACATTTGTCATTTATTAAACTGGGCTAAAACTCAAGAGATCTTAATAAAACACAGTGTACATAAGGATTCAGGCTTCAGAAAGCCTGAAGCAATAATTGATTGATTTAACAGTATACATTGGTCTTCCATGTTACTTATTTTTCAATGTATAAGTTTATAGTGCTAAGAATTATTACTTAATGCTCTCACATGTGAAAATCAGTCTTTTAAATTAGAAATGAAATATGAAGGGAATAGAGTATCAAGGAGAGAAACCTTTGTTTGCATTTTGTTTATATAGGCATGTGTAAGGACTGGTCCTCAGCTTGTTTCAAGTTTGACATAAAGGTGTGTTGCTGGTAGGTGTTATAGGGTTTCAGTGCTCTCTTACCTGGTGTGCTACCCGCTTCTGACATCAGGGTGAGATCTTGGGCATAGTATTAACTGTGTCCTGTCATTCATTCTTTCTTACCTTCCACATCTTGATGTTCCCATGGGGAGACAGTCTATACAGATATCCTGTAAGATCTGACTCTTTCGTTTCTTTGTGGGGCTCCAACCTCCCCTTTACCCTATCCTTACCACATCCAGGACTGGAACTGGCAACCTCGTCTAAGCATCAGCTGACTTGGGTGATAACTTCTCACCAGCACTGCCTGTTGTTGGCACAGGCTGTCCCCTGGCTGTCGACTTGTCTTCAGCCATTTTTTGACTTGTGTAAATGTTCCCACAACTAGCCTCGTTGCAGCTTTGAATATAATAGTTCTTTAAACAATAATTTTAACTACAAACTCAAAGTTTAATTGGCCATCCTTCACTGAGATACCCTGGTAGCCAGCAGGTTCTTGTCACCATCTAAGTTGTGGGGCTCTTCACCACCTAGCTGTGTCCCCTTTTAGTCCCACCCAGGTCTTCTCAGGTAACCATCCCTTTGGCTGTCACTCCCAGTCACAATTCTGGCTGGGGAGTCGAGCACCACCTGTTCCCTGTGGCCTGGACCCTCCCAGGAAACCACTTTCGCCCTGGCTGTTCATTGTCATGCTGAGCCCTGTCTCTGGGTCATCTGGGGCTTCCCTTCTGGGTCTTTTCTCTCCTCCCAGCTCCTATCCCCACTCTTCCCCGCCTGGTACCTCTGGGCTCCAACACTGCCCATCTCACTGGGGCTCTGGGCCCTCCTCTACTCCACTCTTTACTGGAGTTGACAGCGGGCTCAGCTTTCTGAGCGAGCTGCTTGTGACTTCCCACCTACTCTTCACCGAAGTGCACCACTGGCTCTACTCCCAGAGTGAACCATGTGCGACTTCCCAGCTCTGTCCCACCTCTGCGGGCTCTGGCAGCAATGTTTGCCATCTCTTCCCTGGCTTGTTACTGGATCTTCTTCTCCCTAGAGGCTTCCAGCAGCCCCACCTTTCTAGTAAGCTGCTCCTAGGTCTTTCTCCCTGGCTCCCTCCACCTTTCTGTGGTGATTTCCTGACGCTTCCCAATTCTTCATTCCCCAACATGTGCTGTGTCTTCTCCCTTCCAGCTCATTCATCCTCTGGGCCCCACTCCCTTTTGACAACCCACAGGCTCCAGCTGCTGTGAAATCACCATGTTGGAGCCAACATCACTCTCCCTGCTGTGCAGGAGGGGAAGGATGGGGAAAAACCCTGCCAGCAGTCTTCTTCCCCTCCACAAGGTGCATGAAATCTTATGCAAAAGATGGTGATGGTGTGCTATAGTTTCTATATTTTGTGCACACTTATAATTAAAATATGGATATTTTATTAGTAAGTAGGTCTATGCAGAAATCTAAAGAAGAGGAACATTTCAGAGTCTGGTATTGATCAGCTGAGGAGCATGATCTGATGGAATCCTTGATTGACAGTAAGATAGCACTATTTTTAAAAACTTTGTTCAAGTCGGTACTCAATTTTTCACTTATAAGCATATATGAAATTGGAGAGTAAATTTTCATAGAATGTTTAAATACAGCTGAAAATTGGGTATTTCAAATGATTTATTGTACAAGGACCAAGGAGGCTGCACATCAAGTGAGAAGAACAGTTAGTGAGTTAAACAGTAGAGGGAAGGTGAAGGGCCAAGAGAAAAGATAGAGTTCTAGTTTATTTTGCTAATGCACCAACTGTGCCAGTGCCCTGTTTTTTTATGAAAATATTCTGAAGAACTGTGACCAACAAATACACCTTCATCAAGTAATACAAGGAATTCTGAAATACCAAGTGGCAAATGGGGTCAGTGAGTCAGTTAATATGTTTGGGGCAAGACGATGCAAATCCAGAACAGTGGATTGTATATGTAATAGGGACATGTGTGTTTTTTAAGTACACTTGGTAACATTTGGTCTTTTTAGCTGTAGCCCTGTTGTGTTTAGGAATATAGTTATATCATTAAAATAGTTTTGAGAGCCCTCTAGTGGCATTTGAACTGCAGCCAGAAACTAATCAAAAAAGAAATGTGTGTAACTAGGTCTTGCATAAACTAAGTGAACATGGTTATTCCAGACTGCTATACTCAGGAGGTTTCTTCCTGTTATCTGTTTGTGTAATGAACAAAAGTCACAAACCCACAGTTGGCAGCAAAAATTTTAGTGGCAAGTTTGGGAAAGAATGCTGGGATTATATAGAAAGATTTAATGAACCAAAATAACAAATATAAGTGGCTTATTTGATTGTACTTAATTTCATGGGTGAAAAAGAAAAAAAAAAGATGTGCAGAAGTAAGTGCTACGGTAAAATTGACAGTTTTATTTATGCTCCCGTTTTCTCAAGCTACATAACTGCATGAGACAATCCAAGCCTTGTTTTTAATTAATTAATTTGGTCTTCCTGATTTGGTGCAGAATCAAAAAGCAGCATTCATATTTTAGTTCCAAATATTGCCAATTTAAAAGTGTAAAAGAATTGCTGAGAGAGAGTGTGCTAGCCCAACAGATGAGACTGAAGATGTAGAATAACAAGTTGTCTTATGTGTAACAGTATGGAAATGCCTTTAAAACACACAGTTGCAATAAATAAATAAAATACATAGAATAAAATATAAAGTAAGCTTAATTTAGGTAGAAATCACTTAAACAATACTGAATTGCAACAGAATAGAAAAACCTCTTTTTGAAATTGTTTTGGGATGTACAATGCATTTTTAACTTGGACTACAACTGCTGGCAATTGTATCATCCATTCACCTTTCCATCATTTAATAGAGACATATTTTCAAAGGATCTGTAAAAGTTGATAACAACTGAGGAAGTCTGTCTTAGTACTGAGGCTTTAGAGCAATTGATATTCTTAAAAGAACATATGGATGTTTCTTGTTCAGCAGATATTGCAGTCTCTAGAGGTGCTGATATAACTTTTGACATTCATAGTGATGTGTGATTTGTTCTGATGGCTCTCTATATATATTCAGAGACTACAATGTACTGTAGTAACACAGAATTCTCTAAACTTAACTTGACTGTTGGCCCTATGAATCTTGTAGATAGATTTTTAAACCCTTAAGGGACCATTAGATCATGTAGTCTGACTTCCTGTAATTCAGAGGTTGTTATGTTTCACGCACTTATCCCCTTATTGAGTCCAGTGATTTGTGTTTGACTAGAGTTTATCTTACAGAAAAAAAAGGTAGAAGAATATTCACTTGGGACAAATTTGTAGCACCTGAAGCTTCCAATAAACTGAAAACAGAGCATGACACTTCCCACTGGTTCACTCATATATTCTTTTTGTGAACCTGCCATCTAATTTGTGGAATGTAGTCTCCATTGTCCTGTCACTTTTCATTGCCCAGTGCTAGTGAGTCTTTTCTAGCTGCCGCCCATATCATCAGGGTGTGGTATTGGGGACAGGTGGGAATTTTGCACTACAGAATACAGAAATTTAAGTGGAAGCATAATGTAACTTGTAGTAGAGTTCTTAGAAGGACCAGAAGAATGCAGCATAAGGCAGTTGGTGCATGGATACCTTTAAGAGTATTATCTATAATTTGTTACATTTGCCTGGGGATGGCAGGAGGGTACAGCAGATCAGTAGGCTAAGTAGGTTATCTGAATAAACAAGTGTTATCATTGTACAAGTTTAACTCCTTGGTCTCTTGAGAATAACACATGGTACCAGGAGTGAGGTCTAAAGAAAGACAAAAAATTGAGCATCTCAGCATTCTGGAGAAGTTAAAGTTGTCTAGCAATGCAGCAGAAAATCAGAAGAAATTTAAGCAGAGCTTCACCCTAGAGATGACAGACAATGGAGCTACAGAAAAGGAAGATCCACTCAAGATAGCAATTTTTTTTTTATGTAGCAGAATTTCTGTCTTGTTGTAATAGCCTACAACTGTCAGAAGCAGAACAGAAAAGCTATGGCACAGTAATAAAAAAAGTTTGAGGAGTATTGTATACCTAAACAAAACAAAACCTTTGAACGGTATAATTTCTACATGAGACAGCAGAAAAAATGAGATATAATAGAGGAGTTTGTCAAAGACCTCAGACTGCTGAGCCAGACATGCAACTTTGGAGACCTAAAAGAGTCCATGATCAGCAACCAAACAGTATTCGGTATAAAGGATACAAGCCTCAGGAAAAGACTGTTAGACGATCCTGAGATTAATTGGAAAAGGCAGTCAGAATATGCCAAGCTGCTGAGATAACAAATGCCAAGCTAAAGAAACTGGAGGGAAAAGCAAAGCAAGTTGAAGTAGACAGGATTACAAGACTACAAAAACCTAAGGCAACACACAAACATTACAGAGAGGAGGACCTCAC